AGAGGCAAAGAAAATAAAAGAGCACAAAAGGGGAAAGGAAAAAAAAAAGAGAAAAATAAGAGTTTAGAATAAGAGATGGATAATTTTGTCCAGTGGGGGACAAAGTGAGACAAAAAAATGATTTGGGGGGTAAAATGAGAAATGAGGTGTACTTTAAAGGAATTAATTGTGATTAACCCCCAATTTAATTGGAAACACGCTAAAACAGAACATAAAAGTATACCAAATTCACATTATTATTCTAAAATTGTAAATAAACTCAAAATATTCAAAAATTATAATTTAAATGCATGCAAGAGAAACATATTAACAATTAAATGAAAGGAACAATTATAACTGAGAAATCAAAAAATTATTAGGGACAAAATTGCAAAAAAATTAGAAATTTTTTGCGGTTAAAATATAATTGTTTAAAAGATTAGGGGTCAAAAATTAAATAAAGATAAAGTTCAGAGGCCAAATTGCAATTAAATTAAGGGACTACATGCAAAAAAATCCAAGATTTTAGGCCACAATACAATTACTCAAAAAATTAGGAACCAAATTGCAAAATTTGATTTCTGATATGAGAAAAATGTATACGAAACAATTTTGGGCCACTTTAATATATGGACAACACTACTTCGGCCCAAGAAAAAAATGCAGATTGTCTTGTTAAAATTTAAAAACCTAGAGGAACCCAACTAAAAGCCCAAGTAACCCAACTAACAAATGTGTTTCATTTAACCATCTTAAATCCAGGTGAAAGCCTAACAAGAAAAAAATTCTAGCCCACACAAAATTAAGAAACAAGGCCATCTTTTTTCTTTTCTTTCTTTCCTTTTTGTCTTCTTCTTCTTCCTCCTCCTCTTATCTCCAACCAGTTTCAACCTTTGATCACTGGCATCTGTCAGGTGGCAGTGCCGTCGCTGGCCACCGACGACTTTTTCAATTGCCAAAATTCATCAAAATACACATTCCCACTCGACAACTTTTTCAATTGCCAAAATTCATCAAAATACACATTCCCACTCGATTTTTCACGTAGAATCCGTTTTTAGGTTTATTTTTAACAAAACACTAATGAATCATGGTGAAATTCACAAAAAAAGTCCAGTTTCTATTTTTCAAAATGACTCCAACCATCACTAAAATTCATAAAATTTATACCAAAACACTCCTTGTGAAATATATAATCCAAATACAATTCTAATAACAAGGAAAGCAAGTATACATGAACTAGTAAGGGCCAAATAGTGCCCTACTTGGAAGCACCATTTCATTCACTTTTGGCTTCAAAAGTCTCAAAACTTTGACTAACAAAAACATTTTCAGGCCTTGAATTAGCTAAAATCATCAATTTTAATGAAAATATATACTAAATTCACTTCTTTAATTCATTTTTCACTTGGACAATTTTTTTCAAACACATGGAAGGGATACACAAAAATCATTTTCCTTCCCCCAATCTTGTTTATGACCCATCCCAAAATTTCAATAGTAAACAACAACCAACAAAAGCAAGAGAAAACTAAACAGCAATGCATTGATTTAAACAACCTATATAGTAAAAGCACGAATGAGTTTTGGCAAAAGAGTGGTCGTCTGATGATGTGTCAAGCTTTCATTGGTTAAAATGTGGTCGTCCTCCTCATGCCAAAATCACGTGCCCAACTAGAGAAATATTGGAGAGTTTTCTTTTTTTCTGACGTATTCTGCCGAGATGGGACTAGCGCATGGCTTGATACATCACAATTAAGAAGGGTTCTCTTTCTCCCTTGTTCATCGCTATTCTCCTCTCTCTCTCTCTCTCTCTCTCTCTCTCAGACCATCTCTCTCTTTTCTTCTTCATTTTCCTCGACACCCCCAAATCCCTTCTATGGAGAAGTGACAGCTGGCGGAGGCGACGACACTACGAGAGGAGGAGATGAAGGTACAGGAGGCGGGGATGATGTTGGAGTTGGAGGTGGATTGGTGGTAGGGGGAGGTGAAGATGTGGGAGTAGGAGGAGCAGGGGGAGCTGTGGTGGGTGCAGTGGGAGTAGGAGGAGAGGGAGTAGTGGTGGGTGGGTTAGGCGAAGCTTGGCCACCGACGCCGGCGACGATAACGCAGATGAAACCTAAGAGGAGAACACCTCGTGGCTCCATGAAAACACGGTGAGGGAACGGCAAAATGGGAAATAAATTGTAGTGATGTTGTCTTGCGCACTTATATTCTCAGCAGAAGACCACCGCACTCCCACTGTGTGAGCATGCGAGATGGAGGGACAGTGATGCGAAGACAAGGGAAAGCCAAAGGCCAGGGACTGCTCTATATAGGCGGGTTTCGTTTTACATCACCATGCCCAGGTATTTTTTTCCGTTGCAATGGCGGTATATGGAGGCATGACATATATAGCAGGTAATTTGAAGAAAGTTGGCAGGTCTGTATTGTCTCTTAAACCTTGCAAGTATTTGGTAGTTGTGTACTGGTTGTTTGATGGTGATGGACTAATAGTATAGTATTGTGTGATTTTGTTTATGTGAGTACCAAACTGACGTTAGATCTCCGGTGGCTGTGTCTAGCGTCTGATTACGGAATGCCAGATAGGTTGCATGTACATGTAGGATCCCACGGGATCTCTGTGTCTATAGTTAAGGATATCTCTCTTATTCTCCATGACCGGCAACATCAGGACCAAAACAGATGGTTGGTATTTTTTTCTTTCCCTCCCTGATTTTCTCTAGCCTTCTATTTTTCTTTTTTGGTTTAGTTGTCTAATCTAATCTAATTCGTATTTATTTGTGATATTGCAAGTGAAAATTTTGGAATCTCTTCCAGCATTCTTGTGAGACTCTGTAAGATTTTTTTCTCTGTTTTTAAAATTGTGTTCTAAAACACGTTGTTAGTTTTGCTCTTCCCCCCCCTTTCTTTTGCCTGGTATTCTTCCTTCTCTTGCTGTATTTGTATCTCAATTTTGCTCTTGGCCAAAAAGTATTAAAAAGGATTTAACAAATCTGAGAAATTTTTTTTGGAACTTTTCCCGATCTAATGCCTTAATAAGAAATTTTTCCTGGTTTCTTTTTTTCCTAATTTATGTTTTTTTTTTATATTTCATGTCAAAGTTTGGGAAAATTCTTCAATTCTTTTTCAAAATACTCTAGGTTATGTAGTGAGGGATTATTTTCCAACCTTTTGTATGTAATAGTAAGCAAATATATATATATATATATATATATTTTGGGTAGGTTATAGTAAATGAATATTTGACTGTATCTATTTCATTGCCATTTGTACCCTAAACATCATCTTGCATTTTTTTTCCCTTGCAGAAGAGGTTATCCTTGATTTTGTCACATTACAGGTTTTTTGCTCTGTCCTTTTGTAAAAATTTTTTTATTTTCCCTTGAATTGTTGATTTATTTATGATTATAACCTATTAGGTGTAAGTTTCGATATTGGTTATCATGGATTAGTTGGCCTTCAAAAGATTAGGTTGTGGCATGTTTCCTAAACCTTTGAAACATGAAAGTTGATATAATGTTACTAGAATTTGTAGTCATTTGAGTATTTTATAGATGTCATTTGAGAATTTTTTTAATTCTAAATTTCTGTAATAATGCAATGATATTTATATGAAATCAAGTGTTTGACAAAATTCCAAAACTATTAATTTGTTTGTAGTAGGTAAAACTGGAAAGCAAGAAAGTTTACATGGACCTAAAATCAGAATTTTGTATTTATCTTATTGAGTTTGTTGATTCCATAGAATATCTCCATTTCTGCATGAGAGAAAATATGAACTAGATGATTATTGACTACACCGTGTTTCTATGCAACACAGCTAATGCTTAGCAATTACTAGGTAGACATGACAAAACCAAAAAAATTGAACATAGGCAGACCAAAGCTTCATAGTAACGTTTTAAATAGAGAGTATATTTCTAAGTTGTTTTCTCGTTTGGTTTTCTAATTCAATTTCTCAATTAAAAGAAGATTTTCCTTTTTCTTTATATGTTTGTCTCTCAGGAAAGTATATTTGTGTTGCCAATTTTTGGTGTATCTGATTTTGTCTTTTTATTTTATTGTCTTTGCAGGAAGAAAGATAACAATACCTATCTTTCATTCTCTTCTATTCTCTAGAGGTATATTCTTTTAAAGTTTTTTAAGTCTTACTTGTTAAGATGAATGGTTGTTGTGCTGATGTGGCTGTGTTTTATTGGTTGGAGGATAGTCGTCACTCACAAGGACTGCACGTGCTTAAGTTGGGAGGAGAAATAGCTGCTCATTGTTGAGTCTCCCTTCTCGCCTTTCTCTTGATTGTTCTACCAGTCTCCTCATCCCCTTTTTCCAGAATCCCTCTATTCCTTTTGTCTCATCCAAGAGTATGACTGACCTCCTCCATTCCTTCCATGGATTTCCTCCATTTTTTTCTCTGAAAAAAAGAAAAGAAACAGACTAACAGCACACCGCTTCTATTCTCTCTTTCTTCTTCATTTTCCCCCTCTTTTAAAGATTATTCGAAAAAATGACACTCAAAACCCACCTTTTCTCTCTTTTTTTTTTCTCTTTTTGTCTCCTTATCTTGAGATAGGAGAACCTCGAAGCTTTGGTCGATCTTGTTTGCTCAACTGCTCGCCTTTGGTTTTTCTTTTTCCGTTTCTGATCTTCATCCCTTTTCCTCATAAACCTATGATTTTTTCCCTCTCTCTACATAGAAAAATTTCTATTTTCTCTAAGATATTTTTCTCTTTATTGGGACATAATTACCTTAGAGATCTTTCTTATCTGATTTATTTTCTCTCCGCTGATCTCGCCATTTTTTAGTTTTAGAACTTTCCTTTATTTTGACTGATTTTCTTTATTCTCTAATCAATTTCATGTTTGTTTCAGGGTGCGAGTTTAAAGTTTGCATTTTATTATCTGGTATCCTCAATCTCTACAAAACCCGCCAGGTAAGAAATCTCACATGATGTTTATTTTTCTCATGGCTTTTTTTACTATGATTATTTTGTTCTTATAGAATTTTTTTTTTATTATCTCAGGTAAAAAAACACAAGGAAGGCCGTTGGAGGAGGAATTACAGTTTGTTTCTTGCCCTTTCATTTTTTTGGGTTATTTGGCTGTGATAATATGGTGTTTTTTTTTACTCGTTTCTTCCTTCAACTATAATATGAGAAAATCCAATATTGTTCATACTGGTCTTAACTATTTTTTTTGTTAGAAAAGTTATGGATCTAAAGCTTCGTTCCAACCATATTTATTTGTTGCCCTCATTCTCCTTTTTTGAGCGCATGTTGTATTAGAGATGAAAAATAATCATTATAGGGTTTCTTTCGTATGGAATAAAATTTGATCATTTTTCTCCCAAGGGTAGCTTTAAGGTATCCTGCAATTTGGGGCTCTCTTTCTAGAAAATTTTGTTTATTGCATGTGAATTAATTTCTTCGATCTCTTTTTTTTTTCTTATTTTGGTTGGCAGTGATCTCTCCGTACCTTTGCTACTGGTTTTATTGGTCTAAGTTTTAATAGTTCTCATGGAGTTGTATTTATAGTTACTTAGATTGCTTTTTTTTTTTTTGTTGTTTCTTTGAGAGCCCTTATACAAACTTATGATTTGTGTGATTTGCTGGTTTACTTTCTGCTATTACATTTCTCATTGTCTTTGAGTAATTGTTTAATAACCATCTATTTTACTTATTTGTTTTCAGGTTCTCTTTGTGAACTCTTTACCCTTTCTTCCATATTTTTCTTGCACGATGAGGTGGAATAGTTATAAGCTATTAGAATATATCGCTTCAAGAGGTGGAAACATTCTCAATTCTGATATTTTTGTACCTGAGCACAAGAATGTATAGAAGGTCTGTTGCTCTATCATGTACTTAATTATATTTTAGCACATTTCAATTCCAAGTAAATAAGCTCATTTTATGCTTTCTTTTTTTGGAATGTTTGGCTTATGTTTGAGGTACTATTTGGGTAGGTTTATGCTTTCAATTCCGAACCCTTTCATGTATTCACCTATGATGCAGCAAAAATAACTTTAAAGGTTTTTTTGGTCCTTAATTGTTTGCTATTGTAAGTTTTAGGTCCTTTGTTATTTGTTTAGATTACAAACTATTTATTTACTTCAAAAAGTGGCTTAGGGACGATGTTTTGTCCTATTGCATCAATGTGATTTGGATGTGAAATTTTGAAAAAATTTAGGTGTTAAGTGTTTAATTCGTGTTGTTTTACTTCTTTTTTGCGATTTCACATATGCTATGCTAGATTTGATGGTGTAACATAAGAATTTTAACTACATTTATTTTCTACTAAATCCAGAATGTTTATTATGGGTTGAGATATTAAGATTCACAGCATGGTACAAAAGGATTTTGGAAATTGTTTTCTCAATGTGAATTTTATTTAGGCCCTTTTTTTTGAACAAAAAATATGTTAATCTGTTTAGTGTAGATCCAAGGTTTTGTCTTCTTCATTTTTTCCCCCTAATAAATTTGCTCTTGCCAGCATTGTTTATTCTAAGTCTTTGTTAGATGAAGGAAGAAAAGATAAAGGAGGCTACTTTTCTTCAATAAGCCTTGACGATGTGTTTTAATGTTTTTTTTTTGTGTGAACAGATTTTTTTCATTGTAACTTGTTGTAAATTTCTGCTCTCTTTATCCTGTTATTGCTCTTTAAAAAAGTGAAGGGTGAAAATTTGTGACGGCATCCTTTTTCCTCTAGATCCAAATTTATTTTCTTTTACTTGTTTTACTTACTCTGTTTTTATTGTTTTGAGTTCGCTGTTTGAGAATCATGCAACCTAAACCTCAATTTCTTTTTTGCAGAATTCAGCTCGGACATATTTTTGCTTCTACACTTGCTGTTGGGCTTGTAGTTTTGCTTGTTCCCTTTTTGTAGAGATGTTAGTCTTGTTTTTGCATTTTTAGCTTTTGGTTAATTGTCAACCTTATTGATGGATTGCAAGATTTACTTTTCTTTTTGTTTATCAACTCAATAGCGGCAAGGAGAGTAAACTAATTTGTTTTCTTAGGTAATTTGGAGTTTGCCTTTTGTTGGAACTTTATTTTGGTTGGCAATGTCAACCTAGCCAGTGACCAGTGCCACTGGTAATGAAGCTATTTTTTAATTCTTTGTAATGATGATGATCCTTAAAGGACATCAATAAATCAAATTTCTTGACTTTTTGATGGTTTATTAGAGGATGTAGTTTTATATTGCCAACTTCAATGGCATTTCTTCGTGAAGTTTTTTTGTTGGATTGGATGAATATTTTGTCAATGTTGCAAATTTTATTTTTTTATTTCATTCGGTAAAACAATAGTTTGAACTCTGGAGCTATCGTTTTGTTACAAAATAAAGTGGGATATAATTTATGTCCTTTTTTAACTGTTGCAAAGATTTTGATGCATTTTATGTAACTTTTTATAATTAATATTTTAATTTGAGTAACTGGATGTTTCTGGGCAAACCTGAAAATTACACCGCGCCATGCGCGGTGTTCTCCTCCTAGTATGATTAAAAGCAAGAAAATACCTCAATAAAAGTGGTAGTCCCTTGGTTAAAAAATTTTGATGAAACTCCCAAGCCTTAACCGTCCATTTGCATGCTTCTTTTTGTTTCTTTTCCTAACCTTTCTTTTCTCTAATAACTGTCTGAGAGCTAAGAGAAGGAAGGAAAAAAATTGAAGTGATGTAAGTGCTTGCATTGAGAATGAAAGTGAGAGAGGGGGTCGAGAGAGTTGTGTTAGTGTAAGTGTGTGTTCATGAGAGAGATAAGAGGATATTGTGTGTGAGTTGGGGTGTGCAAGTGAGAAAATTTTGAGAAAGAGGGAGAGAGAGATGGGCGAAAAGAAGAGGGGAAATTGGTAGAGTTGGAGTGTGTGAGCAAGTGATGGTGTAAGTGTGTCTTGTTTGTGCTGAGAGAAAGAGGAAAAAATAAGGAACCGAGAGGGAGAGGTAAATTGGTAGAGTGGGTGTATGGAGTTGTTGTGTGATGATGAATTTTGTACAAAATAGAGAAAAAGAGGGATGGGAGGTGGAGTGTAAGGTTAGGTTAATAATATATTAGGTTAAAAAAATGATTAAAAAGTGATTTTTTTCTTGATCCTCTTTTCCTCTTTTTTTTTTCTTTTTCTTTCTTGTTCTCTTTTTCTCTTTTTCTTTTTTTTACTTTTTTTACTTTTCAGGTAAACTTGTAAAAATAAGAAAAACACACATTAAAATACATGAAAGTAAATGATCCATAAATAGATAAATATTTTAAGAATATATTAAAAATTAACAAAAATTTGGTGTCTACACTTGAGCAAAACAAGGTGTTAATGGAGCTATACTCTCTTAATTATGCAAATTAATGAAAGTGACAACAAATGTGGCTAAACTATTGTATTCGGGAAATGACTTGAATCACCTTAAATAATAGTGTTGGGCCAAGCTCAAGTGTTGTTTCAATACTCCAACATCGATCATTGGGCCAAATTCAAAACACAAAAGAATACGAAGAAGTCCATCATGAAGTCCACATTGATTATCGGAGCCAGTCATGCACCTGCTCGCAGATTGTTGAGAATTCGCGCAAAGATCTATTTTGAAACCCAAAAACTCCATCAACAAGGCCAAATCAACTTTTGCACTAAATATGAAAGTTGTAGCCCTTAATGCCACAAGAATCAAGTGATTTGAAGGTCTGGACGTTGAAATATGCCTAAAATATTGAGAACTAGTTAGAAGAACATCGCAATGCAAATATACTTCAGTAATTTGGATTTTTGACAATGAAAATGTGAGAAGTTGAACTCTAATGGCTTATAAGAATTGTAGATAATTCTCTTACTTCAAAACGAATCAAGAATCATCTTAATCCGGTTTTGGTAGCTCAAGTTATCACCAAAATACTGAAATATATCATTCCTACCAAACCCCTTCCTCTTCACTTCTTCTTCTTCCATTGCTCTTTTGTGCCATGTTTTTAGTTCATTTTCTCTCCAATTGAACTCTTCACCAATTAGAACAATATAAGAGCAAAATTGAGTAGTTTCTATTAACAATAAAGCTCAAATAGCATGGTTAGTTAGCAACTTATACATATAAATGTATTACAATTACATCATATCAAACTCCCCCACACTTAGTCTATGTTTGTCCTCAAGCACAAGAACAAAACCCATTAAACATAAATGATGGCTATATTCAAGGCTATTATTATCTAAACAAGTGTCAAGTATCAATAGTGAAAACCAAATGGACACTTCTCCTGATAGCTTTTAACACCATTGACCCTTTTGACTTAGATTAACTAAACTAAGTATATAAAATATTTATCAAGCATTTCCTCGCAAATGGCCCAACTATTAAGCAAAATCTCAAGCATTTAATCGCATAGATTCATAAGCTATTATTATAATCCACATTTTTGTTTCCTTTTTTTCTTTATTTTTCTCTTTCTTTTTGCAGATTCCCTCACACTTAACCTTTTTTTTTTAATATTTTAACAAGGAAAATGTACTTAATTCTTAGCCGTTCAAATCTTTTGACGTGAAGTCTAACATCTCTCAAATGAAATAGCTCGGTTATTCAGTTTTCACTGCTAAACAATCACATATTTATAGCTATTGTCACTTTTTGATGCGAAAGTCGACATTTATTCAATGAAAACTCCCAGTTACTGGGCAGTAACAACCAGCGGAGAATAACTCAATGTAAGAAACTAAGCATATACGCACGAGCAATAACACAAAAATTTGTTTTATATCCCAATAATATGGAGAACTAAGATTAATAATTAAACCAAATTCACAAGAAAAATGTTAGAAAATACTTACAATACCTAGAAAACTTAACCAAAAATTGAAAAAGTATCTAAATATCAATTATTCACCAAAGAAATTCTCTAAAACAACATCATTTAACACTTAACGCATTCATACAAATAAAATTTAACAATAATAAATCTTGAAATATAAACCATTGTATATCAAGGAATAGACAATAAGATTTAAATTTTGAAAATTTTAACCACAAATTTCAATTCGCTTTTTCACCCTTCCCCCACACTTAAGACGACATTGTTCTCAATGTTGGGAATAAAATAAAGAAATAATAACAAGAAAGGAGTTGAAAGTGAAACTCCCCTGATAACAAATGAATTCCAATGATCAAGTGAAGTGGGAGGGAAGTTGCTAGTTACCATCTAATAGTTAAATTCAAGAACCCATCCTACCAACATAAAGAACAAGTGAACACTATAAATAGGAGTTAAACACACACCAAATAACCCAAACTTGAAAGCAAATAAAATCCTAAATTAACACACCACCACCAGTCCCAAAAATAAGAAAAATATTAAAAGAAATTAAAGAGAAAGTCGGGTTGGCTCCTGATAAGCCTTAAGTTTAATGTCTTCAGCTAGACATGACCAAATAAATTCAATGAGGATAAAAAGTTTTGGCCCGTCTCATTGCTTCCACATCATACTTTAGAAAGCCCTCAAGGTATGGTTAAGGAAGCAACTTAGTTTCTTTCTCCACAGCTATATCATGCTTTCGCACTGTACAATAAGCATACTTGTGAAGATCCTGCAGCGGTGCGAGTACTAGGTTTTGTGCCATGCTTAAAGTATTTATACCTTTCACATCTTTTTCCACACTCAAAATAGTGACACCTTCTCATGGATCAAATAATGACTCATGGACATACACTCTATTAGAAACAATATTAATAACATCAAGATGACAACAAGACTAATCATATGAGGAACACTTCAAAGTTTCAAAAACTTTAAACTCTTGTGCATCATTACCCATTCTTAAGGTAAGTTCCCTTCATGTGCTTCAATAAGAGTCCCTCTCATGGTTAAGAATCCTCTACTTAGAATTATAGGCATATTAATATCTTCCTCCATATATAAGATAAGAAAATTTGCAGGAAAATAAAATTTATCAAATTTTACAAACATGTCTTCTACAATACCAATAAGATATCGAATTGAGCGATCTGCTAGTTGTAAAGTCACCATTGTTTGTGCGAGCTGAGCAAACTTTAATTTCCTGAAAAAAGACAAAGGCATCGGATTAACACTAGAACCAAGGTCATACAAGCACTTGTCAACTAAAATATTCTCAAATTAACAAGGCATAGTAAAACTCCTTGGATCCTTCATTTTGATAGGAAGATGATTTCAAAGTACTGCACTACACTCATCGGTAAGCGGAACGTCTGCAAACACCTCCAATTTCTTCTTCTTATGCACAATTTCCTTCAAAAATTTAGCATAGGAGGCCATTTTTGCAATGTTTTCAGCAATTGGAATATCAACATGTAGCTTTTGTAATCTCTCTAAAAATATTTAATGAGGACTCTTCAACTGCTGAGAAAAGAGAATGGGTAGCACATAAGGTTTAGCTTCGGGCATCTTAATAGATTGATCTTCAACTCAAAATTCCTTGCCCAAACCACGTATCTCCTCTTGAGTCTTGGCCCTGTTGTCATCTATTATACTTTCTTCCTTGGGTATACTTTTCAGCTCATCAATAGGATCATCCGACACCTTCCCTAAACAAAGGGATAATGCCATATTAGACTCCATTTGATTCATCTCTGTATTGTTTGACCTATTTGCCTCTCAAGATTCTAAATTGAGACTTGTTATGATTGCACTATTTGATTCATCTTTTGCATGTATTAAAGTATCATATGTTCAATACTTGACTTTTTCTCTTGTGCAGGTGGAAGCAGATACTGAGATTTATGCTACAAATTTTGGAACCCAGGTGGTCCCAAAAGACTAACTCCTTGATTTCTCCAAGATAGATTAGTGTGATTCCTCCACCTTCATTATGCATGTTAGAGAAAGGAGTATTTCTAGGCTGCAAATTCTGCCCACCATATGCTCCAGGGAAATTGACTTCTTCTAA